ATATTTTTAGATGTTGTATTACATTAGAAAATAATTATAAATGATAAAGACTTAAATAGTAATATAATAAAAATAATATTAAAATAATCAAAAAGTAAAATAGAGAGGTGAATAGTAATTCTCCAAATTTGGAGATCTACTATTCACCTCTCTATAATTGAAGAATAGAGAGTGGTTGGAGAACTTATTCTTTATTTTACTCTCTAAATATAGAGAATGGAGAGTACATTTACCACAATCTATTTACCCATTTCATTTGAATACATGTGTGATGTGTTTATTAATTTGGCTTAAATATAAGATGTAGTTTAAAAAAAAATTAAAAATCCATATTCCCCAATAGGGGTGTGCAAAAACCAAAAAGTGTTATTAGTTTGTTGTTATTGGGGTATTGGGTTAATGATTTTTTTTTAAAAAAAATTATTGAATTATCGGTTCGGTATTGGTTTTTAATATTGGGTTATTAGGTAAATCGATAACTCATAAAGACTAGTAATTTACTACTTTTACTTGTACATAAATATTATATATTAATTTCAATATCTTACTAGTTACTATATTTGTCCTTTGGCCTTCAATTTACACTTTACAATGACTTTGAGTTCATAATTTCACATTATACAAAACGTTAAAATCTAAATTAAGAACCTTATTATTCTTAATTTATCTTTGTGTTACACTTGTATAGTTCTTTTCATGTTTGTTATTATTGTTTCTATTTTATGAGTATTTGTAAAGTTACATTATTGTATTTTCGCATTAAATTTATTAGAAAAATCATATATTTATTTTATAAGTATTTTCTTATAGGTTAAACCGAACCATTAGGGACCAAAATGGATAAACCGATAAAAAATATCTTATTGGTTTGGTTATTGATTTAACATATTTAAAAATCAAAAATCGATAAATCGAACCAATAATACATAAAATCAAACCGAACCGACCGATGCACACCCCTATTCCCTAGGTATTACTTTTTCCTATCCTAATTTATTTGTCACTTTTAATTTATCAAAATTTAAATTCCATGAAATTTGATTAGTAGTATAAATTTTTAAATATCTATATTTTAATTTTAATCCAATTTAGTTTAAATTAACTCAAATAAACTAAAAGTGTCACCACGGATAAATTCACCCTGCTAACACCTTACCTAGTAGATTTACATTTCTCCTATGATTTGTGAGCTATTACAGCAACGAGAATACCAAAAAAAGAAAAAAGTTACTCCAATTCTAAATTTTTGAAAACTAAAGTAGTAAGGATCGTTTGGTTGGGAACTAGTTATCGATTAACTATTCTGGAATTAGTTATCCTGGAATAACTTATCACATCATGTATATAAATAACTTATTTCATCACTATGCTATAAATGATGGATAAGTTATTCCAAACATGTCAACCAAACAAGACATCTAAATTTTATCTCAGAACTATTTATTCTTATACCTCACACCAAACGAGCCCTAGGAACAATAAAAGTGAGAAAACTCAAAATAATAAAAAAATCACCTGGGAGAAGCTCCGATGAGGATGAGTTTAGAAAAGAGTTCAGGGCGGCGAATGGAAGCGAGAATTCCGATCATGGCGGAGACAGAGTGTCCGACATAGGAACAACGATCGATACCAAGAGAATCGAGAATATGTAGAAGATCATCAACATATGGGTCAAGTGTCGTATAACGTCGGAAATCGAAGAAATCAGGATTTACACTGCCGGCACAGACAAGGTCATACAGAACAACACGGTAATCTCGGAGAAAAAAAGGTAAAATTCGACTCCAAGCGGATTGGTCTGTACCGAACCCATGGGCTAAAACCAAAACTCTTTCGCCGGAACCGACGACCTGAACGTTCAGAGCATCTAAAAGGGTCTGACCCATTTGAGTTTTTTTGCTTTTTTTTTTTAATTGGAGGGAAAAAAAAAAGAAGAATACTCAATTTTTGTAGTCTTTTTTTTTTTGTTTAATGATTGGGTAGGAGTTGTGTGAATGGGAAAAGTCATTGGAGGGGTGTGGTACTTATAAAGTTGCCAAAAGACATCTAATTAATTCATCCGTATTAATTTAATTTGATACGAAATTTAAGAAAATAATTTTTTTTATTATCTTTGTTCTTTTTTAATTTGCATGTTGCCTTTTTTGAGAGTTAATTTAATTAATTTTCAAATCTTTCAATTATATTTTAAAATAAAATTTTAGATATTCAAAAATTATGTAGAAACTATTTGTAAATTGTGATTTTTTTTCATATCAATATAATGAAAAAATATATCTTAAAATGTTAGTTGAAATTCATATTGTTTGAATCTCAAAAAAGGAAACTATTACAACTAAAGAGGAACGCAGGGAGTAAAACTTATGGTCTAAAATTTGACGATAAATCATTTATTAAGAATAAATATAGTCATTTCAAAGTTAAATTGTTTTGAAATATAGAATTATTTAAGATTAATTAAAAAGAAAAGTGAGTGTGTTTTTGGATTGAGGACTTTTGATTCTTAAATTATCAAAAAAAAAAAACAATTTCGTACTATATTTTAAAGGCATATTGAATTTATTTTTTGTACGTTACATGATTAGTAATTATACTTTACAAAATTGACTCGTGAAAAAACACGTAAAACGTTTAAACCGAAAAAAAAAACATTTCGTCTAAATTATATCTCTATTGACCATTCATTCTTTTTCCAATTTGTATATTTTAAAGAAAATCAGCACTAGACATTTCCTTTAAATATAACTATGGCCACTTATTGTTTATTGTAATGGAGTATAAGGCCTCATTTCTTTAGGAGGTTTGAATTTGAATGGTTCAATATTAGACGATTAAAATAATTTTCAGTACCATTTTATTGAAATTATTATTCATCAGTCACCATCATTAACCATTTTTACCATTACAACTATTATCACAGTCGCTAACCATCTCTGTTATCCCAATCATCACCACTATCAATCATTATTGTCACCTTCATCAATATAATTATATCCACAATTGTTGCTGCCACCTCCATTACCACTATCAATCACTATTACCATTGTGATCTCTAGTACCAATCACCTCCACTATGTTGTTTGGTTGGGAACAAGTTATTTCAGGATTAGTTATCCTGAGATTAGCTATCCTGGGATAACTTATCTCATCACTATAATATAAATGGTGAGATAAGTTATCCCAAACATGGCAATCAAACAAGACACAAAAAATTTATTCCATCACTATTTTCTTATCTCATGACTATTTATTTTTATCTTTCACATCAAACGATCATATAACTAGCATCACCATCAACTACGTACTACCAACATATCAACAACCACCACACATTCTTTAACCCCATCAACATCAGCAACTACTAGTTAATTATCATCGACCAACTTCAACCAAAATAAATAAGGCGTAAAGCTACTCATTTTTTATAAACATAAAAGAATGGAAGTGTCAAACGTATTTCCTAAATTAAAAGATTATTTTAGACAAACTCCAAACATATATAATACTGTAACTATTTTTGTCAAGTTCTTTGTTTTGGTTCTATCCATATTTTAATGGACGCCCATAATTTGTTGTACTTGTATAAACTCAATGTCAGAAGACTTCTATTGGCTACAAATTAATCTAGTGTACCTTCGTTTATTTGGACAACATTATCTATTTTAGATTTTCGAAACCTTGATAAATGGAGTACAATAAGTCAAGAATTTTGTCTTTTCCTAATAGGGCAGTTCAACTGTTACTTTCTTTGGTTCATAATGAAATATCCTATGAATTTTATTTTGTACAAAAAACTATTCCAAGGGGATAAGAAAAAAAAGAAAGGTACCTTAATATGTTAAAGGAAAAAGTTGAGGAAAATTTAAATAGATTATCGTAATTATGTTGATTCAAGTGGATATTTGAATTTTGAATTCGACTCTAACCTAATCATATTTTATTACTATATTCATTTGACGACTAATAAGATTGATTCAAAATTTATATTTGTCGAGGATAGTTCATGAGAGAAAAGTAAGCAACAAATACAAGAAACAAATAAATAGTTGTTAGAGTGGCTTAGAGTCTCACATTAGTCGAAAAATGATTTAGTGATCTACTTATAACTAATACTTGAATAATCATTTCCTCATGAGCTAACTTTTGAGGTTGAGTTAGGTTAAAGTGCATATCTTTATATGATTTATTCATTCATGTTTGGCCTCCTGGTCCTCGCTCTTGTTGGGCTAGGAAGTGAAGGGGGGTTAGATTTATATGTCATATTTTTACAATATATACAGTATTTCCTCGTCATAGTGCAAATTTTTTTTTAAAAAAATATTTAATAAATAAAGATAACTCAATAAATTATATATTATATTTTTTGAATGGTCATAAAAAGTTAAAACGATATTTAAAATGGGACGGAAAGGGTAATGTAGAGAAGATAAAAGCCAAAACACTTTAATGAGTTTGTGAATTGTGAGTCATTGATAGAGATGATATTGCATAAAGACCACGAGGGTGTGTACTGTCATTTATGAATAACCAACTAAATTATCAATATCCAGCAGCTTCCTCATAAATTTGCATTGTATTCACTCTTTATCTCACCAAACATATATACATGTCATTAATATTGTTTTACAAAATAAATTAATATGCACATATATAGTTGGGCTAAAAGGACAGTGGGTGATCAAGGGGGGGACCCAAGAGAATACCTATCTACAAAAATTTCAAATCCAGTATCTTCAATAAATCCTTATATTGATTGATGAAATCTACCACTCAAAGCTAGTCATATCTAGGACTTGGCCTCACAAGTCAGAAAACATTCATGACAATTTCTAGTACCTACGCTTGTTTCCCTTGTTATAATTTTCTTTGTTTATAATATCACGCTGTATGGATTTTGATTAATTAAGATTTACATCGTATAAGACCTAGATGAACCTGATAGTTTTGTTAAGGGTGAAAGAATTGTATATTCATTCCATTACCGTTCTAATTAGTTTGTTTCTTTATTGACACGATACATAAATATAAATATGTTGTTTAATTTGGACTCAACTCACATTTATGTCCTTCAATTTTGGGTGTGTACAAGTAAATACTTAAATTTGTATAAAGTTAAACAAGTAGACACACATGAATCATATGTGGCATAATATATGTAGGACACAAATTGTTATGTAGGATGTCACGTAGGACGTATGTATCTATTTGTTCAACTTTATATAAGTTTAAGTGTCTAATTATGCTCACCCAAAATTAGAGGGAATAAATATGAGCTAAGACCAAGTTAAATGGCATATTTATGTATTATGTCATCTTTATTTGTTTGTACCGTATATATTAGTGTCGATTTTTCAGGAACGTAGCATGGACAAGTCTCATTGCATGTCTTTAGCGGATTTGGCTCCTCTCCATTACTCTTTCCCTCCATTTCGTCAAGTACACATCTAGATGAGAGACATGTGTACTATTTAATTATTAAATATCAAGATAATATTGCATTAAGTGAATAAGTTTTGGAAAAAATTCTCTCCAAATTTAGTAAGAATATTTAAGTCTTCTCAATTTTTGGTATCCATATATTTATATCATTAATTTATTTTATATTTTATATTTAAATATTGAAATTATGGAGCATGAACTTAACAACGTTTAATTTGTTTAGCCTAATAGTAGTCTTACAAAATATTTTGCCTTTAAATTTATGTTTTCTTTTATTTATTTTAAAAAAAGAATATATATATATTTAATTTTTTGGATACTTTCACCATTGTAATTCTAATGCATTTTTTACTTCCCATTTTTATTATCTGATATCTATCCTCAATGATAATTCTTCCTTTATTTTTTAAATATCTCAACATAATATTTCAAGAATAAATTCGCTAGCACAGGAAGCGATTAAACAATGTACAATATTAATATTTGAATATAGAAATATAAAATGAAATCAAAGGGTTCTAAGATTTGTAGGAACATTTTTCTTACCAAAGTTAACGAAATTATTTGTTCAAAACTTATTCACTTAATTATGGTTATGATACTAGTTAATGCAATATAATCTTGACCTTAAACAATTAAATAATGCACATATATCTCATCTAGAAGTGTACTTGACGAAATGGAGGGAAAAAGTAATGAAGGGGAGCCAAATCCGTGTTTAGCTAGTGTCTCACCAAATTCACTTTGAATATGACCATAATCATGATCTTAATTAATCATCCCAGAAATTATGTTGGTATTTTAGTATAATTAACTATGTCAGTGATTAATTAAACCATTTTGTTAATGGGATAGATTAAAAAAGGATTTTCTTTTTCAATTAATTTAAAGTAATTATATCCGACCACTCTAGTGGTAATATCATTCGCTTTGGATTTAGGCACATACACCTTTAAATTTACCTATGTATCACATATATATACACCAACCCTTAAGAATTCAATATCGTCCTTATTATTAAAGTTTGATTAACCAGTATTATCTTAACACGTGGAATTTGCCTAAACTCAGTTGCACGTTAAAATCTACCCCAATATCATCGTCCAAGGTTGCAATGGAGGACGAATGCGGCAACAAGAACAAAAAAAAATGGACCATAGAGTATATTCTCATTTCTTCTTTTGGAGGGGCCTATAGTATAATTTGAAGGCAACCTCCAATATAATATATAGTGAAAATTACTAAAGTTTGAATCAGATTCTTATAATTATAATATGAGTTCCAGCTGACCTCTCTAAGATGAGAATATATTTATATCTTCATGTCCAAAATAATATAAACATTAGTCATATATACATCTATATTGCTCCTCTTTTAGCCTTTTTTAGCCCTGAGATTTTGTTACTTCTCACAATTTGATCAAACTGTCTTTTTTTTGGAATAAAATAAGTTTTTTTTTTATACGGAAGTACTTTCCAGCTACTTTATTCTAATAATTATAGACTTATACATCATGTATGGATAA